GAACTCACTCACAGAGATCCAGACGGATCTCTGCCTTCAGAATGCTAGGGTTAAAGGTGTGTGTGCCACCATTTTCTGGCCTCTATATCTAGTGGCTGTTCTGTTCTCTGACCCCAGACAAGTTTATTGGGGTGCACAATATATTGGGGAATACAATATCACCACAATGCTATGTTTTAAATATAGCTTGTCTGCTCCCAGACTTTGCTATTTCCTTGTGACGGTGCTGAAGGTGGTGATGCCGTTACGAGGGGATTAGGTCATTAAGAGGAGTAATGCGCCGGGCGGTGGTGGCGCACGCCTTTAATCCCAGCACTCGGGAGGCAGAGGCAGGCGGATCTCTGTGAGTTCGAGGCCAGCCTGGTCTCCAAAGCGAGTTCCAGGAAAGGCGCAAAGCTACGCAGAGAAACCCTGTCTCGAAAAACCAAAAAGAAAAAAAAAAAGAGGAGTAATGCTTCCTGTGGACTGCAGATTCATCGAGGAGACTATGGGCTATCACGGAGCAGTCCCCGATGCCTTTCCTCTCTCCGCTGTGCACAGAAGCCACAGAAGACCCTCACCAGAAGCCTGCACCATTATCTTGAAATTCTTAGCCTGTAATTTTCCGGTCTCAGGCATGCCATTACAGAAAGAATAAGCAGTGGGAAGTCTTTCCCACGGGATTCCCACAGTGTGGAAATCGAAACGTCAGCAATCCCTATGCTGTGCGTGTGCAGGTTCACGGCTGCACTCTTGGGCCTTCTGGATGCTCAGCTCTCCACGGCCACACACAGCCTCCCGTTGTTTCCCATCCAGGACAGAAAAATGATGAAACTCGGTGAACATAATTGTTGACACTTAGGAACAATGACAGGCACCTTTTCCGGGTGAGTGGATTTCATAACTTGACCCTGATGGCACCCTCTCTCCATCCTCTCCATTTTTTAGACAAGGACATTAACGCCCAGATTAAGCCACCCCTCCGCTATGAAAGCCACACCTTCTGGAAGAGGGAATCAACTCGCCTCAGATCCTCCACACAGAGCTAGTCATTGACACATCTGGAGATGTGTAACCCTCTGTCTCTTTTCTTTATATTTTAAATACAGAAATACATTTCTTAAATTGCTGTGCTGACCCCCATGTACCATTCGGTAGCCTTCTTTCCACCTCGCCATCTTTCTGTATCGTAAAATCATGCAGGCTGGAAAGTCTTTACTTCAAAAACAAAGGTCCTGAAGGGGTTGAAGAAATGGCTCAGCAGTTAAGAGCACTGGCTGCTCTTCTGGAAGACTGGGGTTCAGGTCCCAGCACCCACACAGCGGCTCACATTGGTAATGCCCAAGGGATCTGACGCCCCCTTCTGGCCTCTGTGGGAACTGCATGAGTGCAGTGCACTTGACAAGTGAACAAAATGTTCATACATTTTCAGTACTATCCTCCCATTCAGCCAGTCTTTTCACTGTAAAATCTCCATCTTTAAAAAAAATTCCATGTATTTTCTGACCTGTACATAAAATAGGATGCAGGAAATGTGGCTTGTAACTACCTGAATGTATCATCTATTGCAAAGGTAAGCTTACAAAAGGAAGCTGATATGTTCCAGTCACAAAACTAGTCAAGGGGGAAGAGAGCATATGAGCTCAGCTTACACTCAATACCCAGGTAAGGCATGGTCAATATATTTTCAAGATTTTATTTTAGTTTTTTTGAGACAGAGTCTCTCTACATAGGCCCAGCTGTACTGGAACTCACCATGTAGACCAGGATGGCCTTGAACTCACAGAGATCTGCCTGCCAATGCCTCCCAACTGCTGGGATTAAAGGCGTGCACATGACCACAGCCTGGTGAGGTTGGGTTTTTCAATTGTCTGTGTGCAGGACTTAGAACGGACAGATTGCTGTGTTCCAGATCTGGAAGAGATAACTGTAGTGGGTAGCCATTCCAGCTTTGATCTGGAAGTTCCAACCCCCATTGAGGCTTCGGTAACTGTCACACCTACAAGGCGGGGCCGAGAGAGGACCCTGAAGACCCGAGATCCGGATGCTCGGGCTCTCTTGGTTCCTGGACCCTGGATACTGGAGGTAGACCGAGCAGAGTTCTCCAGAGAACACCGCTGGACTGTGCTACACCTTTCCCAGACCCTGTAGCCTATCCCTTCACTTGTAAGTTACCCCACAAAATAAACCTCCCTTCTAACTACGTGGAGTTGCCTTAATAATTTCACCAATAGATAACCTTGGGATGAACTGGGTGTTGTGTGTGTAATTAGACTTAATGTTACTTATTTCTGTAGGTACAAACACTTCCTACCTGTCCCCAGCCCCTGTGGCCTTCAGGCTGACTCCCACCATAAAACCACTAAAAGCAGAGGGCCTCGCCAGGAAGAACCAGCCTGTGTGTTTAAGACCTGGGCTCGTGTCTGTGCCTACCACATGCTGTTGGGCCTTGGGCGTGCCTCTCTTCTATTGGAGATACTAATTTCCATGCCATCTATCTCGGAGTTATTTTCTTGGAAGGAGCAGAGGAGGTTGCGACCGTGAGAGTGTAAAGTACCAGGTGCTGTCTGTATATCGGGCTTTAGTATGAAATTCTGACCTCTTCACAGGAGGGACAAGAGTAGACGGCCAAGCCTCTTGGTTGGTCCAGCCTTTCTATTTTTGGCCCCTGGAACTCACTCCTGTGGTGCATTCCCCAGCCTCAGGACTCCTATTTTTATAATGGAGGGTTGCAAAGTTCAGAAGCACCAAGCGTGGGCAAAGGTGAATAGCCTGAACTCTGACTCTCCTGCTACCTGCTCGAGAGCACAGTGGTACAGATTCTTTGGGGGAATGTCTGGCAGTATTGACTAAAGCTGGTTACATGGATTACAATAGCCCAGCAAGTGCTCTGCTTCTTATCGAGTGGGCACAATTACATGCATCTGTTCACTGGAAGACCTGTTATGAGAATGTTCTAGGAGCAATGCCAAGTACCGACTCCATGCCCAGACCAGTGTCTCCATGCAATGGACTCCTGCCTAATAGTGAGGATGGTGTCCAACTACATGTAAGCACTGTGTCAATGTCACGGACACGCTGAGCAAAAGCATCCTGACCAGTCCATGCTTGTTTCACTGAAGTCTCTCGCAGCACCACAAACCACCCAAAATACAGTCTTGAAGCAAGAGTGCTTTACTATTTCTCATGGATCGTGGGCTGGCTGCTGAGTTCATGTACCAGGCTGTGCTGAGCTGAGGTTGGCTGGGCTTGGAGGCCCACGGTGATGTCATTCATAAGACCTCATTCCTGCAGTGCAGACTCTCCTCCTTGAAGCCCGGGCCACCCTCTTTACCTGTCGATGCAGAGGTCTGTGAGGACGAAAGCAGTGCCACACAGCTGGATCCATAGTCTCACTAAAACTCCCAGTGATTCTCCCATTTCACAAATGGGAGAACCCAGGCCCAGAGACATGCAGCACTTTGCCCGCAGTTTCAAACATAGGAAGGGGAAGGGCTAAGCTTTGATTCTGGGTCTGCCCAACTTCACTTGGAACACAGCAACCTACTGGTTCTAAGTCCTGCACATAACTGCAGCCGGGTTTTGGTTTCTAGAGTATTTTCAATTTATGAAAATTCAGAGCTTTAAGCTCGGACATTTGAAAATGTCCTCATGGTTACAAAACCTAGTAAAATAATTATATAGTAGATTTAAGAGGCTCATTTCTCTCTCAGCAACAGTGCGGCCAGGCAGGTGAGTAGCTTAACTCAAGGTGTCTCGGGGCCCTGCTTCCTTCTATCTTACAATCCCATCATTCTGACCTCATCTGGGCCAATGAAGCAGTTAGTAAATGCTCCAACTCGTCTATGGGGATGGGCCTGAGGGGTCATCCTGGACACACCCACCCGCATTCCTCTCAAACTAATTGGGTGAACGTAATGGACATCATTTCCATGCTAGTCCCATGGCACACCTGCCTGGAATGTAGAATTAGTGGGCCAACCGAGCCAAAATGCACCAACTTTAGGGGAACAACTAACAATCTTTGCCATCTGTGGAGTGGGCCCAGGTGGCAGGCATGGAAGCCTCATTTGGCCTTGAGCTCACTGTGTAGGTGAGGTAGGTGAGGGCGTCCTTAAACTCCTGACTCCCTGCTTTACCTCCCATGTGCTGGCACACAGGCAGGTCCCACCACAGCCGACACTTGTGCTTAATGATGAAACTGCTCTCCAATAATTGCCCTCAAAAGGCCACTCAGAAATAGCCGAGTCCTGTTCCACCATGCCAAAAGGTTACACTCTCCAGGTAATCCGAGTTCTGCGCTTTGCTGCTAACCCTAGTCTAAGTGAAGACCTTTAATAATTGCCACCCATTTTCCTTGGTGTATATCTATCCTAATGATAAACATGTTAATAAATATATAAATGTGTTTAAATTTTAAACGCATAATTGACAAGATTCCAAGGGCTTACACACTTTCCTGGAAGGAAAAAAGTTAACTGCCTGGAACATTCTGTTATATGAATGTAGAGGGCAACCTCTAAAATGAAGAGTTCATGACTTCAGCAGCCAGAATCTTGGACACCAAGACTATCCTAATTAGGGCCTAAAATAACCGCGCCCCCCCCCCCCCCCCCCCCAGGACAGGGTTTCTCTGTGTCACTTTGCGCCTTTCCTCAATCTCACTCTGTGGACCAGGATGGCCTTGAACTCACAGAGATCCTCCTGGCTCTGCCTCCCAAGTGCTGGGATTAAAGGCGTGTGCCACCACCGCCCAGCTCCAAAGTAACTTTAAAAGGCTCTATAAATGTGAGCATTTCTGTCTTCCTGCTTCTCAGACACAGATAAAGGAATCTGGCATGGAGCACACAGGCAGAGTTCAGGAAGGGCTGGTGTTGGTGCTGAGAATCTACTTAGTCCATGGAGGGTGTTCAATGAAGTAACTTCCTCTTACACCACTCCCTTGTCCTTCCAGAGCTCAAAGATCCATAAATTAGGGAACTGAAAGGCTAAACGATTAGAAAATAAGACCTGACAACAGATGAAGGAATGGTAAATGTTTATTATGAAAAGGCATTCAGTCCAGACAAGATACTGGTGACTCCCTTGCGTCTTGCCCTCAGGAACAGCCCCGTGAGGGAGGTATAGCCGCGAGTACCATATTACATATGAGGTGGAACTTCACTCAGGCCGGACTCTGTGTGCCTTCAAGAACACACTCTCCTCCTGACCCTAGGGACAGCAGGATGGAGAGAGGAAATGGTGGCCAGTCCTGAACCACGGACGGACAGACAGGAGCCAGCAGCTATAAAGGCAGTCATTCTCTGGCCAGCCTGAGACCCATCTAAAAGCGAAAAGGGCTCCATTTTCTCTCAAGTTCCAGGCCAAGGACTGACTTGGGAGCCACATAGTAATGTAAGCACCTTCACCCTCCTCACTGAAGGGTGTGTAGTAGCCAGGCTCAGTTAATTCCATCATCCCTCTGTGTCCCGAGTTCTATGTTCCAGAGCTGACTCCTTTGGTGGGAGGTAGGGAGGATGTGGATGGGTAGTGTTTTTTATATATATAAAACTATTCAAATTACAAATGCATATGTCTTAGCCTTAGTCTCCCAACCCCTCTGCTTCCCGGTACATGGGGCAGGTTGAATGATTCCTGTCATTTGGGGCAGGTGTCCTTGTACCTGTTTGCACGTCCCCTGGGCAACACAGGCCCAGGAAGGTAGATGGCAGGAGTTCCTGCCTCCTGTTCTGCTCCCCAGGACAAAGCCAGGGCTTTTGCTCTCTTGCTGTAAGAGGCTTTGAGGTGGTTTTGTTTAATCTCACTGTTGGCCATCCACTTCCTCTACGGAACAACACAATCACCAGCTTGATCTGTCTTGAAACATTTTTCCTTCATGGAGACAAGGAAAACATCATGACCCAACCCATGTTTTCATTCTCACAGAGGCTTGCCACTCTTAAGCCTCCAAGTCATCATCCTGAGCAATAAGGACATTTCTTTTGAAGAGTAGTCCCAAAAGCTCACTAAAAACTCTATTTGGATTTACCTGAGATCATGAACTTTATATTGAGTCCATGTTTCTAAACCTGAATTTTCTTGGGCATGCTGGCTCACACCTATAATTTCAGTAGTCAGGAGACTGAGGCAGGAGGGTTGCTATGAGTTCAAGTCCAGCCTGGGGTACAGAGTGATCCTGGTACAAACAAACAATTTTTCAATCACCCGACTTAAGCCAACATCTAATCCTGATACGCCTTCTAAGTGATCCTAAGAAAAGAATACCAGACTTGCACCCTGCTCCCCAAGACCATGTGTAAAAACACAAAGCCACACAGAAAGGAGGGACCATAGTGTGATATTGTCCAGTCAATGTCTCTTGGCTTCAGAAGGCTGCCACCTCCTGCAGTTCCAGCCCTCGGCTGTGGTCCACTCTCAGTAAGTGAACTCCTCTGTAGAAACTTGCACATAACAAGGAGGTGACGTCACCAACAGCCAGGGAGGTCAAAGGTCCTGATCCATCCAGAGACAAGGTGAAAAGGCAAGCTGGAGAAGGAAGGAGAACCAGGCCTACGCTTAATGATGGAAACGTCTCTGAGAAATGCATCATTAGACAGTGGTGCCACTCTGTTGCCTCCTGGAGTGTGCTTATGCACATGTCGATAGTATAGCCCACTACCACACTTCTCAACTCCTGACATGCTCTGTTATTCCCTGAAACATCATTATACAGTTTGGGACTGTATCATGAGAACAAGAAACTGAGCATGTCCTGTACCATCTCAGCCATGAGAGGGTTCTACCTCTCAACAAGGTACAGTGCACCTGACTGTGAGAACCTGGGTCACCTCCATGACTTCTAAAGAGAATGGTACCCAGGCCCAACAGGATGGAGGCTACCAAGCAGTATTTCAGACAACTAGGCCCATATTTGAAGGGTAGAGAACAAGACAGGCTGAGTCGGGGAAACAGGGACAGGGTCTGGGCTGCCAGAGAGCGTGTGGTGCAGGCCGGGCTTGGGCTTTGTTGCTTTTTTGTTTGTTTTGTTTTGGTTTGGTGGTTGTTGTTGTTGTTGTTTTGTTTTGTTTTGTTTTTTCCTGAGACAGGGTTTCTCTGTGTAACCTTGGCCATCCTAGAACACCAGGTTGGCTTCGAACTCACGGAGATCTGCTTGCCTCTGCCTCCTGAGAGCTGGGATTAAAGGCTGGGCTTTGCTTTTTTTTTCTTTGTTTTCTTTTTTTTTTGGTTTTTCGAGACAGGGTTTCTCTGTGTAGCTTTGCGCCTTTCCTGGAACTCACTTGGTAGTCCAGGCTGGCCTCGAACTCACAGAGATCCGCCTGGCTCTGCCTCCCGAGTGCTGGGATTAAAGGCGTGCGCCACCACCGCCCGGCTGGGCTTTGCTTTTAACTGGACCATCCCTCCAGCTGCATCTCTGAGGCAACTTTTCTAGGAATGCCAGGAGCTCATGCAAGGCAGTGGTGCCATCTGCTCCGGTCAATGCTCCCCACTTTGAGGCATGTGTCATTACATTGGAAGCATACACCTCCCCTCGCCCACAGATATTACACCTGAGCAGGTGGGAAATCTAGCTCCAGGGCAGGGGATGGCAGGCCTGTCTTCACTATTTAAGTTTGGCTTATGGCCACAGCTGTTTACAGAATGACATTAGAGAGGCCCACTTCTTTTCTCTAGATGGTGGTTCTCTCTCCCTGAGGGGAACTGAGTTGTTGGAGAGTGACTATGAGAAGCTTTTGAAGTTCTCTAAATTAACAATTTCCTGTCTCTAGCCAAATCCTATGTCCAGAGTAAAACAGCATACCAGCAGTGCTGTGAATCCAATGCTTATTCACAGCACTCGGCAATCTTCATGGGATAAATGCCCCACCATGACTGAATTCATGTCAGAGGCACTAGGCATCAGAAGTTTAGACCATGGCTCACAAAATCCCCAGGTGTCTACCATTTGACTTGTATGGCTCTACATGCAGAGGACTCTGGGAAGCCATGGTCTATAAGACATGGATTTCCTGGGGTGCTAAGGGGCCTTGACCTCACTGAGATCTCAAACACAGCTTCAGAGTCCCAACAGGGGGAGCCTTTCTGACTCTGTTCTCATTTTATCACAGTCCCAGCAAGAGCTGAGGTTCTAACTGTATCTCTGAAATAAGAACTCAAAAGTAGCATTCTTTTTCCCCTTTCCAGACATTCCAAGCATCACAAGTCAAAATCTGGTGGGGAACTTCAGACGGAAAGAATGCAAGAGCCAAACATGTACTCTCTGGAGTCTTAGGATTAACTCTGTACATTATGGTATGTGGGAAGCACGGTGTTGGCTTAGAGCCAGAGGCTGAACAGAAAGACGTGGGTACTTTGGTGTCTCACCTCTTAACTACAAAGGGACTATTCAGTGGCAGGACACAGAGGCTTTGCATATGGTGAGCAATGGGAAAAGTCTCCAGGCTGCACTTAGCTTTGAGAAACACTGAGAGCAGGCTGCTTACCTCCAGTATCTTGGTTCCAAATCTTCACCGTGGAGTCATGTGCTGAGGTAGCAATCATAGGCATCAAGGCCATGGATTTTGGTAGAAAGACACAGGATGCAACTGTCTGGAAATGCCCCTTATATTCACACATTCTGTTTCTTGTCTGCCTTAGGTCCCACAACTGCAAAGAAATGACAGCAGCCAGCTCATTCATATAGATGTTCATATGTCTCTAATACCTATCCTCCCATTCCCCATGACCTACTGATCCCTCCATTCATGGATTCAGTTGAAGTCCTTATCTCATCCATCATACCCAACCACCCATCCATCCAGCAACTATTGTAGCATCAACCATGGCCCAAAGAACACTCGCTGTGACTGTGGAGGAAGGGCGCTGCCTTTTCCATGATTTGAGAAGTGAGAGCTAACAGTGCTGTGGGATGATGGAACAGCACGGGGTGCCTTGTTCTCCGTGACAACTCGGAGAGCGGCCTCCTGGCATCTGTGTGTCCCATGGGGACCATACAGTAAGGAGCACCTTCTCATGTGTGCACACAGGTGCAGATATTCTGAGCTGATGCCTAGTGCCTCTGACAAGGAAGCGACAGTCCCGTCTGTCCCAGATCTACTGACACAGATCACATCACACCTGGAAGGTGACATTCAGAGATGAGAGGAAACGGAATGGTGTCCAAAACCTGGGTGGGGTCATAGGAGACCCCGTGATCCATCAGCTTGGACAAGAGATGCTACATCCAAAGCTTGTAACACCCTATTCTACCCCTTCTAAGAGTATGTACTGAGTAAGAGACTCCAACGTGCCGGGCCTCCATTCCCTCAACTGTAAAACAGGCATTGAAACAGCTTGTCTTAGGGATTAAATGAAATGAAACCATGCATGCTTAGCTCAATACCTAACATGGCATTGACACATCTGATAACTCAGAAATACAAATCTGATAACTTTGGAAACTAGATGATTCTTTTGTTTTGTTTTGTTTTTTTTTGTTTTTTTTTTTTTTTGGTTTTTCGAGACAGGGTTTCTCTGTGTAGCTTTGCGCCTTTCCTGGATCTCGCGCTGTAGACCAGGCTGGCCTCGAACTCACAGAGATCCGCCTGGCTCTGCCTCCCGAGTGCTGGGATTAAAGGCGTGCGCCACCACCGCCCGGCTTGTTTTGTTTTTTGAGACAGGGTTTCTCTGTGTAGCTTTGCGCCTTTCCTGGAACTCACTATGTAGCCCAGGCTGGCCTCGAACTCACAGAGATCCACCTGTCTCTGCCTCCCGAGTGCTGGGATTAAAGGCGTGCGCCACCCCCGCCCGGCTAGATGATTCTTTTAACTGACAACCTGCAATTATGAATCTAGGGATTTTGGAGGGGCCTAAAAAGTGTATCCTGAAATTACTGCAAGGAAGGTGTAGAGCTGGACAAGGGGTGGGGGTGGGGGGCCTGGACCAGTTTCGGAGCTCCACAGCTCCCCTAATGAGCTACACTTCCTTTGGCATGACCACATATACAAAGGGCATTTATATGGCTCTTCCAGCAGTCCCTCCCTGTCTAGGCTCCACCAGGAGCAAGGACCTCAGCAGGCTGCTCTGTTTCTCCCTTCTCTACTTGAGTCCCATCCTGTTCCTCTTGTCTATTACCAATTCAGACAGACCCAGCTTAACAGATTTCTTAAAAGAAGCCTCCGGAGTGCACAGGGTGATTGACAGTTTGCACTTGAAGCAGGCCAGTGCAGTTGCAGAGCCTATCTGTAGAGCCCTGTGAGGGGAGTGAGACCAGAGCAGCCTGCTCATCAATCTGGGCTCTTACTGTGGCTTCACAGCCTTCGCCCTCAAAGCCGCTGCTGCAGGAGATACACGTGCGTCCATCCATGCTGACTTCACAGTGGGTCTGAATGTGCTGCTTTGTGGGAAACACATGAGCCATCTGAAGCCCCCGACTATCCCATAATCTGCAAGGAAGTAGAAGCAGAAAGCGACTTTGTAGTAATGGGACGAGAACACACCCAGGATAGCTCACTAACAGGGAAAGATTGACTCTTTGTGGCCAGTCAGAACAGAATGTCCCAATCTAACAAACTCTAAAGCTGACAGGAAATAACCAAATCAATGCCATCTTGATTCTTTCTGTTTTGAAATCAAGTCATATGGATTTTTTAATTACACTTATTTATTGGGGGGGGGGAGCTGCATGTAGCGCAGCATCTGTGTGGGTCCCGGGACTGAACTAAGGCTGTTAGCCTTGGTAGGAGGCACCTTTATCTTTCACGGAGGCTTTAGAACACACATTTTTTTGTCTGTTTGTTTTTTGAGACAGGGTTTCTCTGTGTAGCCCTGGTTGTCCTGGAACTCTGGCCTGGAACTCAGAGATGCACCTGCCTCTGCCTCCTGAGTGCTGGGATCAAACACGTTCACTATCGCTGCCCAGCTAGAACACACATCTTAACTGTACAAGTTATCTTGATCCTTTATGACACTGCTTCCAACAGACAAGGGGCTATTTTTGTGCCTATAACTGAAATTGTTTTAAAAGATACTTTGCTGCTGTTTTGAAGCAGGTCTTGCTGTATAGTCCAGACTGCCATACTCCTCGGCCTCCTGAGCACTCAGATTGCAGTCCAGACCCACTGCTACAGCTACCAGATCCTTATGAGACTGTCATCACCATTCCAGAACCAGATCCGGGCTGAGGCCTTGGAGTCCAGTGGGGAGTTCTGCGAGCCTCTTATCTCACTGTTCCCTCTCTCATTCCTCCCATTTTATAGTAAAAATCTTTTTGGAGAGCCAGAATTTTGAGGCATGCTCCACAGTTTGTGAGTTCCTGACTTTATCTGAACCCCCGATGTAGAGTCTGACCCTTGTTCCCAGGGAGGCTCTGGCTGAGGACTAGGTGCCTGGAAACTCCAAGAATCACACAGGGCATGATAGCAGGGCCAGGCTGCCTGACGGGGTGGGTGAGCAGTGAGGCTGAGGTGATCTGGACAGTCTCACACTGGAACCAGCGAGGCAGCTGCTTCAAACCATTCAGAGCAGGACCTTAGCCTGACCCCATCTTGTGCATTCACTCTGTCCCCATAAGCTCCAGGTCAGAGAGGCCCCAGTGGCTGCCAGGAGGAAAGGGCCCAGCAGCACGGAGAAGCAGAATGGAAGCAGAGGCATGTAAGCACAGGAGCCACAGACCTTCACCAGAAACACCTCCACAGCGGCTCAGTAGCCCACCTGATGGTCTTATCCTCGGAGGACTGGAGTACATACGGCTCTCTGGGGACCCAGCACAGATGGGTGACCTGGAGAAAACAATCAACAAGTCTCCACGTCAGGTCGTTCCTCTGATGAAGTTCCGTTAGTTGGCCAGCCTCATCCCTCATCCCCTCTCAAGGAATCTGAGCTCGTGAGCTTGGGTTAGCAGGGCCACTGCCTCACAGCTCCCATCAGTCCTCCTTCACCTGTATCTCCTGGGTGGGCAGGGGCAGGGGTACCAGCAGGCAGGCCTGGTGCTTAATCTGGACGACCTGAACCCCAACTGGCAGTGATGAGCAGGTGGCAGCCAGAGGAGCAGCCCCTGTGCTAAGTGGGGTCCCCTGAACTCTGCTGTAACACTTCAGGGGTTCCTGAGAGTAACAGCAGTCCTGGCCTTGCAGCCTGGTGAACAGGCATGAAACAGGTTCCAAAACAACCCAGGGTAGAAGTGTGCTTTTCTCAGCACAGAATCCTCTGGAATGTGGAGGGCACAGGCAAGCACATCCTACCATCTGCAGCTGACTTCAAAACTAGAACAGGAGACAACTAAACTCTGAGGAACATCTGCCCTGTGCCAAGCACAATGACAGCTATTTTATAGTCTATTTTATCTCATTCAGTCACCCGAAGAAACTTGCCTAGTGACATAACTTCTATTTTATAAATGGAGATATTCAGAATCTAAGATTAAGTAGCACAATACAGCACTCACAATAATAAGTGATAGCTCTGTGGCTTGAAAGCAGGCCTGAGAGTGGAGATTAGAGGCAGAGTGTTTGCTTAGCATGTCCAAGGCTTAGGGTTCAGTCCCCAGCATGGGAAAAAGAAAAAGAAAAAACCCACACAAACACAAGAGGGGAAGCCAGGTGTGATAGAGCCCCAAGGCTGTGCAAAGTCTACAGCAGTCAGCTGTCACAGAGTGAACTACATCAAGCAAAGGGCACACTGATTTCTCTTCATGATGCTACATATTCAGAGGGGCAAGCAGCCATCTTATAGCACACTCTGTACACATAAGTTGTGGGTTCCTGCAAGACAGGACAGGACACCATGTCTTTGTTATATTTCTATTCCTAGCAGTGCCTGGCCTGCCCAAATTATGCTAACAGTATGCTCTGAAGAAATGAATGCGGATACCACTCTTCTCCTCCTGCCTCCCTTCTCTTTACTCCCAGCCACCACCTCTCAACTGAACTCAAAGCCCCCCCACCCCCATGCTAAATACACTCTATCTACGATGAGCTATGCCCCCAGCAGGCTTCCCTCACTCTGTGCTACTTCCCACCATCCTGTTCTACACCACGTCTGAATATGTACCAGGTTCCTGGAGACAGACGCTCTCTCCACACACCGTCCAGTACCTACATCCCACAGAAGCAGGCTGTTGTCCCGGGAGCCGGTGCACAGCTGTGATGAGTCTTTAAAAACAACGGTGAGAAGACAAAATGGCTGTGAGCTGGGATGTGGACAAGGGTTCTGGGAATGCACCCAGGAACTGGCAGGAGATCTGCTTCACTTTACCTGGACTCGCAGCCAAGCCAGTGACCACCATGGCATGGCCAGACAGTTGCTGCCTGGGCTCGGAAGAGCCCTGCAGGTCCCACATTATGACTGTCTTGTCTCGAGAGGCGCTGAAAAACTGGCTTGACTTGGGAATACAGGCTATCTGCTCACAGGACAAATAAAGACAGAAGTAGCTCAGGTGTACATGCTAGACAGGACTTCAGAATAGCACCTGGCTTTGTCTACGCCTCCCCACATACACACCTTCAACTTGTTTTCCGTTTTCTTTCTTTTCTTTTCTTTTTCCTGTTTTTTGGTTTTTTGTTTTGGTTTTGGTTTTGGTTTTTTGAAACAGGGTTTCTCTGTATAGCTCTGGCTGTCCTGGAACTCATTATGTAGACCAGGCTAATTTGTTTTTCTTAAGAAAAAAAAAGATTTATTTTTAATTCTGTGTGTGTGTGTGTGTGTGTGTGTGTGTGTGTGTGTGCATGTGTGTTACAGAAATGACCACTTTAACCATTTTAAGTATACAGCTCAGTGACAGCAAATATATTCACATTGTTGTACAGACTTCAACAATCTCCAATGGAAGCCAAAAGGGGATGTTGTATTCCCTGGGACTTGAGTTACATGTGATTGTAAGCATTATGTGGGTGCTGGGGATTGACTCCAGTTCTTCTGAAACAGCAGCCAGTGCTCTTAACTGCGGAGCCTTCTCTCCAGCCCCTTTTGTTCCTTTATAAGACTCAATTTAAAAAAAAAGACTCAATAAGCTGGACAGTGGTGCATGTCTTTAATCCCAGCACTCGGGAGACAGAGGCAAGCAGATCTCTGTGAGTTTGAGGCCAAGCTGGTCTACAGATTGAGTTCCAGGATAGCCAGTGTTACACAGATAAACCCTGTCTTGAAAAAAAAAAAAAAGCTGAATAATATCCTACTGTATGTGTCCTGTGGCGTGTTTTTCCCACACCTCTGCCAGGTTTTTGGTTAATTCCATTGTTTGGAATTATTCGCTCTGCTCTTCCTGGCATCAAAGGAAGCCTTTGCATTTTTCCTTCAGACTAAATATACAAGCCCTCCAAGTTGGGCAGTGGTGGCGCACACCTTTAATCCCAGCACTTGGGAGGCAGAGCCAGGCGGATCTCTGTGAGTTTGAGTGAGTTCCAGGACAGGCACCAAAACTACACAGAGAAACCCTGTCTCGAAAAACCAAAAAACCAACCAAACAAACACCAAGCCCTCCAAGAGCGATAGCTATTGAATTTCTTTATTCACTCCTCAGTTCCCTTCAGAATAAGCATCTGACGGTTACCTTAGTGATTTCCCGCTCATGTCCTCTGAACCTTTTCACCACGTGTCCAGTTCTCCAGTTATAGGCCACAGCGGTCTGCAGAGAAATGGGATTGCAGGAGTCACCACCACGCTGGTGCCTGAGAAGGACCTTGAAGCATTTCCTTGCTGAGTGTCTACAGTCTGTTGCTACAGAGAAGGGAGCAAGTACAGCCTGGCCCCAGTCACTGCTGCATCTGACCAATCAGCTCCCTAGTCTTCAAAACAGAGTAGACAGTCTTTGCCCCACTTACTTCTCAGAGGTGTGAGAAAGGGCCACATAAATAATACAATTTCTTAGCTCTAAAATAGTATCGACATTAAGACAAGACATTGTTGCCAGGCTGTGGTGGCACACACTTTTAATTCCAGCACTTGGGAGGCAAAGGCAGGTGGATCTCCACGAGTTTGAGGCCAGCCTGGTCTACATGGTGAGTTCCAGTATACACACAGAGAAACCCTGTCTTGAAAAACAAAACAAAAGAGAGAGAGAGAGAGAAATCACATTACTAATTAAGTATTGATACTCAAGTGTATCTTGATTTGAAGCCATGACATCCAAAGCAAATACATCTTACAAATTTTGAAATACAGTTTGCAAATGAAATTTATGATTCTGGAAGTCTATTGGAAATAAGGAATATTATTAGTATTATTCTCTCCAGGAAGAATGAGCAGTGTATTGTTTGTATTGTTGCTGCAGTTACCAGCAGTGACTGCCAAGACAGCTGTTAATATAAGGACAGAAGGCAGTTCAGTCCAGGGTGACAGCAAGAGGAAAGACCGAAATATAAAAGGGCAGTGTACACCAGCGTGAATCTGGGAAAACAAAACATAAAACAACCAGAAAATTCTTTTTGCTGACTCCAGGGTCTGAGTATTACTGTTAAGAATGAGGTGGGTGGAATATTAACATCCCCATTTATAAAAGCATGTAGGTGGCCTGGTGAGGTTCTCACTGGATCCTCATGACTGTCTTAGAACACAGGTGTTACTGTTTACCCATGTATCAGACTGAGACACCGAAGCTCAGAAAATGTAGACTTGCCTACAGTGATAGGAAGTGATAGAGCCGGGGCTCAAACTCCAGCCTCAAACTTGGAGCCAGGCTGTTGCAGTACAGAAATGCAGTGTTAGACCCTCGGGACATCTTCCCCTTCCTGCAGTGGGCCGGTTTCCTCACCTTGTCTTTTCCTCCAAAGACACAAAGGTCTGAGTTCAGAGCAGCAACTACAGAGACGGTATCCATGTGAGCGGGGCTGTACTCTTGGGAGGCTTTAGTCTGGACTCTCTCTTCTATAAGTCCATCAGGCCTGCAACAGAGAGGATGGAAAATGAGGCTCACTGCCTGAGACTGGACAGGGGAGCAGAGGGCAGAAGAACGTGGACAATGATAGCAATTCAGGCTAGGCAGAGGCAGAAAAGAGTCCCACTGTCTGTTTGGGAAATGTCCAGAAATAAATGGTGCTGTTTATTTGGGAAACACCCAGGGTTATTGAAATCTGATGCAGGGGAATTCTGAGGCAGGCAAGGAGTCTTTGCTCTCATTAGAGGTGACTCCAAAGATACAGGGCCCCCCAGAGTGTGCAGTGTAGGTACTAGCTGGTGAGGTGACCATTTCTCACCTAAAACAGTACATACACCAAACCAAGCGGAAGGCAAGATCACCACCACTCGCCTTGTCTCCTTAGGAGAGAATTGTAAAGGAGCATGTAGAACTGGGGACCCCAGGATGCCATCTACCTGTATTTGTAAGTGCTGTGTCTGAGTTTGCTCTGCAGTTTCCCCATCACAGCCCAGAGCCAACAGAAAACCCGAGGAAGAGCTGGTTTCAGTTGGTAGCTGAGTGACAGCATCCCTTGAGTCACGGGAGGTGTGTTCCCTGTGGAATGGAGAGAGCGCACACGTGGAATTTCATTAGGTCCAACATTAGTGGTGGGATTAGGTTGATTCTTTCCTTCCTCCTTCCTTCCTTTCTGTGTGAGTGTGGTGCATGTTGTTGTTTTTAAGAGATTAACCATGTACATTTGATTCTTTTCCTGCTCCTGCTTCATTCTCTTGGGCCTGGAACTGCAGCTGTCAATACAGGTTCAGCAGATAAACAAGTCAAAACTAATGTTCAAAAATACGAAGACTTATGATTATTATTATTATTATTATTATTATTTTAAGACAGGGTTTCTCTGTTTTGGTGCCTGTCCTGGATCTTGCTCTGTAGACCAGGCTGGCCTCAAACTCACAGAGATCCGCCTGGCTCTGCCTCCCAAGTGCTGGGATTAAAGGCGTAAGCCACCACCACCCAGCCTACTAAGAGTTATTTTATGTGTGCATGTTTGTGTGTATGTATGTTCATGTGTGCAGGTACATGTGCACATGTATGAATATGTATATGGAGGCCAGAGCATGACACCCCAACCTTAGGCGTCATTCCTCAGGAGATATCTACTTTGCTTTTTGAGACAGGGTCTCTCACTGAGACGTGGGGCTGACTAGGCTAGGCTGGCTGGACAGTGAGCCTCAGAGACCTGCCTATATCCACCTCCCCAGTGCTGGGACTACATGGAAGTGCCACCATACCCAGCTTTCTATGTAGGTGCATGCTCATGTTAGGACTGCAGGTGTAGTAGCATGGGTGGCAGCAGGTGGCAGAGTGCTTGCCTGGCTATAACAAGGCTTGCCTAGCATGATCAAACATGGGTTTGATCCCCAGTACTGCAAAAAAAGAAATAAAAGGAAAAATAACAAGGATGTCCATCTCATGTCTTCACTAAGTCAGGGAATAGCGCCTGAGCATGTGATGTTCCTGCATGAGTTGCTGGTGCTACAAAGAACAGGAGAGAAGTCTGAAGAGGTGAGCAGCACCAACACATTTTAGAACTGGACCAGGAGCCAATCTCAGCTACCCTAGGTCCTGTGTCCTTCAAACTAGCTATTCCCTGAGACGCTGAAGAACCAAGGGAAGTAAAAGGGGCAATGAGAGGGGCCAGTCCTCATTTCTTCCAAGTTTCTGCTTAAAGAAGTTCTGAAGGACTCATGTGTCACAGACACAAACATCCCAGCTCCAGGAAGAACTGTGCACAGAGAGAAAAACAGCCAAGAGCTGCCAGATACAGACTCCTCTTCACACCACTGCCACTAAAAATGGACTTTCCCAGAATTCCATCCTACTGCTGAGGAATTGCATGAGCTGGCATCTTGGAAAGAAGAGATGAACAGCTTAGAGGCACAATGCAGTGCCAAGGATGCAGTGTGTACCACTAGGGGTCGGGATCTGGCCCCAGCTCCGCCTCATCTCACTCACTGCTCACTGTGTCCTCGAGGGGCACCAGCGCCCACTCCTGCATCAGTCCCCTGCACCAGCCCCGGCTCCTGCATCAGCCTTCCTATCTACTGTAGCAGCACACTACTAAATGACTATGTGTTCCATAAGGACTCTTTTTTGTACCCCAAATGGCTTGTATAGTATGACAAAAATATTTGTTGCAAACTATGGAACGTGCAGTCTCTTCCAATTCAAACATTCTAAGATGTTCTGTGATAGGCCACAAGATGTATTAAAAGGGAAGACTCTAGGGTGGCATCCAGGAAACTTGTGATATGTACTGTTTATAGATATACAGAGTTGCAGAGTTGCCTATCTGCCAGCCTGACCCATGTCCAACACTGTCATCAAACTGCTGATGAGTGCTGCCTGTAGATCTAGGTCACTGGAAACAATGAAGGCTATACATGTATTTAAAACCAACTGGATTCTTATCGGGTATCTTCACTGAGGAGACAGTCTAAGGAAGGGTAACTTGGCACTACTTACCCCCAAGTCAACAGGATCTTCTTGATGAGCTCCTGTATTTGGTGATCTATAGTTCATTCAGCCTCTGGAAACTAGTCAGACAGCCACCTCCTAATCTCTGTAATTAACGAAAGGACGCTCAAGTTAATCTCCCTCTGTCTAAGCATATGTTTGCACCGAAGAGATTTACAACCCAAGTGTAAATAGGGATCTTGTTTAATTGAAAAGATTATTAGTGTAGTTTTTCCTCATTAGGAAATAGCACACAAATTTCCAAGAGTATGTAAGCCTCAAATTTCCATCAACAGGGTAGAGTATAGTATGATGTTAACTACACATTTGTTTTTTTGTTTTGAGATAGGGTCTCATGTAGCCCAGCCTGGCCTCAGACTCACAAAGTAGCCAAGGATGACCTTGAATTTCTGGTTCTCCTGCCTCTACCTCCTGAGTGCTAAGGTTACAGACACTTGCCCCTGTGCATGGCTTATCAATGCTGGGGTTGGAACCCAGAGCCTCACACATGCCAAGCAAGCACTTTACCAACCAAGGTACATTCCAGACACTATGTATCAACTTCTAAATGTGCAAAATAGAAACCTGAATTGTATCATTAAGCATTTTAGTTTTGCTCACAGTATAGTCCTTCAGTCCACCAAAAATCTTTAGAGTAAATTGTTTACTTCAGATTTCACTATTTTTGTGAAAAAGGTAACTTTTCTGTTTTGAATAAGTATGAATCATAGAACTTGTGAACAAAGAGCTTTTAAAATTACCCCTTATTTAAAGATCTAGAAATTGCAGAAAGATTATTTGTTCAAAATTATAACTTGGCAGCCCTCTTGAGTTTGAGCTTAGAATTTCCACCACAAACATCTATACAGAAACAACAATTTTAACTGCTTTATTTCCTCTATATTTAAAGGGTTCAGATAAATTCTTTTGATTGACAGTCTAGCAATTCTGAGAGTTTACACTAAGCGCAGCACAGAATAGTTGTGTTGTTGTTTTTTACTCTTTTGGGGGTCCTCCATCCAGCTCCCAAATAAATCACACACTGAGGCTTATTATTTCTTATAAATGCCCAGCCTTAGCTTGGCTTGTTTCTAGCCCAGTTTTTCTTAACTTAAAATTATCCCATCTATCTTTTGCCTCTGGGCTTTTCCTGTTCTCTTACTTCTGTCAATCTTACTCTTATAACATAGCTTGCTGTGTAGCTGGGTGGCTGGCCCTTAGAGTCTTCCTCCTTCTCTGGCTACTTCTTTTTCTTCTCCCAGATTTCTCCTTCTATACATTCTCTCTGACTTCCAGCACCACCTATCCTTTCTCCTGCCTTGCTATTGGCCGTTTAATTCTTTATTAGACTATCAGGTGTTTTAGACAGGCAAAGTAAGATTGCTCACAGTATACCCATAATAAACATATCTCACACACACAGACAGCATATATAGATGGATTTATGAGTCTGGAGGGTGTTAAGTCAAGTCATTTATGTCACCTAACTAGAATGACACCACAATCAGGCTAAAAATTATGTTATACACTAAGGCAATTTAAATTTTTGAGAACAAAAAAAAATATGTACTTGGTGGATAATATTCATCATATGTAGACTAACCTATTGTTTATATTATAAACATGTAACAGACTTGAGAGGGAGGATAATGTCTTGTTCATTTCTGCATCTGTGCTTCCAGCCTATTATGGGAGAATGGGTTTGAGGCATTTATCTGCTGAATGAGGGAATGGCATACTAAAATGAAGAGTCAGAACAGTTGAATGAGGGGATGGCATACTAAAATGAAGAGTCAGATTAGCCAGAAGCTTTTTTTTAAGGGCACAACATAACACCCTCTGGTTTGGGTCTGGGTTTCTTTCTTTCTTTCCTTTCTTTCTTTTTTTCTTTCTTTCTTTCTTTCTTTCTTTCTTTCTTTCTCTCTCTCTCTCTCTCTCTCTCTCTCTCTCTCTCTCTTTCTTTCTTTCTTTCCTTCTTTCTTTCTTTCAAGAGACAATATCTTGCTATATTGTCCAAGCTGGCTTCCAATCCCAAACCCTCCTGCCTCGAAGGCTTGTGTGACCAGACCTCCAAATAACGGTCTTTTTAAACTGCATAACAAGATCTCTGAAGGCACATTGCCCTGCTTCAACACTCAAAGGCTGGAAGGACTCGGGAAGGTCTTTAAAGGACATCATGGCTCTGGATGTCCATCTTGGTTTCTGGTGGAAGCAGATTTACATCTGAACCCTGGACCTATCTCTGCCCAAATCTGTGGTCAAAAGGCCCAGGGGTCATATTAAATAGTGCTCCGAGTATTCTCTTTCAGTTATACAGTGCAAAACTCCAAGCCGGGTGGTGGTGGCGCACGCCTTTAATCCCAGCACTCGGGAGGCAGAGCCAGGTGGATCTCTGTGAGTTTGAGGCCAGCCTGGGCTACCAAGTGAGTTCCAGGAAAAGGCGCAAAACTACACAGAGAAACCCTGTCTCGAAAAAACCAAAAAAAAAAAAAAAAAAAAAAAAACAACTCCTTTATAGCCTTTAATACAACTGGGCTCCATAGGGTTGATTTGTCACAGGGGCAGAGCTGAGTGAACTGAATATTATTTCCCTGGACTCCTCTGACTCTGAAGAGACAAAAACACAAAAAAGATTCAAAACAAAACAAACTGTCATATGTTAACATCAGACTCTGACTACTTGGATCCTGGCCCTAGTGACTTTGAGATGTCTTACACAAACATTTAGTATGACTCCTAGTTACTACCTAAATAACCAAGACACATGGTGCTGTAAAATTTACTAAACAAGGTAGTGAGACGTCCTCCTACCTCTTTATCTGAGCATAGCTGTTTTATATAAAAGAACTATTCCCTCTCAGGGGATTATTCTCTCTCTGAGAATCTACCCACTAGACCTGTCTTTTCTTGCAACCTATTTTTTTCAATAAATCTTTGTGTTTATGCCTTGTTAATACGTCTACCATTGAGACTTCAGCTTGTCATCATTGTTCCCAGCACGACACTAGTCATGTAAATGACTTTTTTTTTATCCTCCACTCTCTTCCCGAATATTTCACTTATGTATCTAACCCAGACTCTCTGAGACCAAGAAATCTACATTAACGTTCAAAGAGTAACAAGACTACAGGAAGAGAATCTCGTAGGTGATGGTCTGGTTTGACTCTCTCATGACAATGAAAAGGAAAAGGTTCAGACAGTAAGAGGATTTACACTCAGTGCTAGATGAGAACGCCCAAGGCTGAGGACAAATCAGTGTGCAGTTCTTTGGTTTTGTTTTCTTTCTGGCTCCTCCAATTATAAATACTCCTACCGTTGTCCATTATCCGAGTTTGTTTTTGATGTGCACGTGCCCTGTGAGGATTCAGTCAAGATGGAAGCAGGGTGACACTGGTCCAACACAGACCCTCCCCAACCCCTCTCCTCGCTTCGGGCCGGTAGGTGGCTGCCGCCGGGGACAGCGAGAGGGCTCCCACCTCCCCGATACTCCCCTCTCCCACCTCGGGCTCCATACCCACCGGCGGGCTGGCACCGAGGCCCGCAGGCACCAGAAGCTGGCATCCGCAGCTTCCATCGGCTCCCGCGTCTCCGCCCCTAGCAACCAGGCGCCCGTCTCTAGGGTGGGAGTACCAGTTAAACGCTCCCGGCGCCCACGGCAGCTTCGGAACAGAGGTTCCACCTGCCGGAAGTCTTCCAGGGGCCGGGTCGAGAGCGCCTATTTTTCTTTCCTAATTTAACGATATATGGATATTCTGCGCAGAAGAGCCTTGTGCTGAACCACGTTGCCTGAAAAATCTTTATAATCTAAAAAACGCAGTGATATCTCTGTCATAGCCACAAAGACGATTAATAAGTGTCATCTTTGTAATTATTATTCGCTCAGATAATTTTTGTGAAGTTTCCCTGAATACAAACAGACAGATATTTTTTCCCTTTCGGACGTTTCCCCCAGCATCTACTCCATCCCTTTCATTCGGCGTGTGTGTGTGTGTTTATTTTTTATTATTTTGTTTAATATATAAAGAAATGAGTTTCAAAAATATGGAACATTAGCTGGGTGGTAGCAGAGGTAGGCGGATCTCTGAGTTCAGGGCCAGCCTGGTCTACATAGTGAGTTCCAGGACAGCCAGAGCTGTTATGCAGAGAAAAACAAACAACAACAAAACAAAACAAATATATATGTATAGAACGTTTTGATTTTGCTTGATGTCCTTGTACAGAAGCCATGTTATTTTCTCTGTAACATTCCAATTAAAAAATAGTTGAGAATAACTTGTTTTATGTGTGTGAATGCTTTGCCTGCATGTATCCATGTACATCGCTTGTGTGCCTGATGCCAGCTGAGGTCTGATCCCACAGAATTGGAGTTACAGATGGTTGTGAGCCACTCTGTGGGTACTGGGAACTGAACTTGGGTCTTCTGCAGGAGCAGTGCTCTTAACTGCCAAGCCATTTCTCCAGTCCCTGTACTGTTTCAATTTTAATATATGTGCTGCCAAACTACATACTTTTCACTTTGACTTTCATCAAACTGAAACAGGCCAGCACTATAACAAAGAGACTTCTCAGTACCTCCTTGAGATCCAAATGGGAAGATATTTACAGCTAATAGCAACTACAAAACAGTTTCCAGTCCCAACCCAACATCTGTTTATCTGGATTCCTGATGCACAGCATGAGGCTTATTGAACAAATGAATGAATGAGCGAGTGGATGAGATCCTAACCAACATGTTTTTTATATCCTAGTGGGTGCTCCTTGTGAGAAGCAGGTATCTGTTCAATGGGGATATGCAGAGATTCTGAAAGTTGAGTGTCAATGGGTGTTAGCAGAGACTTTTGCCCCCACAGAATCAGCTTTGGCCACTAGGTTTATCTTCCAGTCTAGGGAGGGAATTTCCTCTGCTGCATTCCTGATTGGGGCTCTTCTAGCCCTTAATGTTCCTTCTATTGATAACACACTCATTACTTTCAGAGTTAGTGGGCTGTTGTTGGGAGATAATTTCCTGGCAGATGCTAAGCTTTATCTATGTCAGTTAGAAGTCTTAGTTTAAAAACTGAGGACTCACGAGGTGGCGGTGGTACACACCTTTAATCCCAGCACTCGGAAGGCAGAGCCAGGCGGGATCTCTGTGAGTTCAAGGCCAGCCTGATCTACAGAGCAAGATCCAGGACAGGCACCAAAACTACATGGAGAAACCTTGTCTTGAAAAAAAAAGAAAAAGAAAAAAAAACTGAGGACTCTTTGTGCATATTTAAATTGATTTATTTTTATTTCATGTACATTAGTATTTTGCCATGGATGTTAGGTCCCCAGGAACTGGAGTTACAGACAGTTGTGAGCTGCCATGTGGGTGCTGGGAATTGAACCAGGGTTCTCTGGAAGAGTAGTCAGTGCCCTTAACCACTGAGCCATCTCTCCAACCTCTCTTTGTGCATATTTTATTCATTTTTTCCATCATCTCATTTTGCACCAGAGCAAAACTGTCACCTAACCAAGTGGCAAAATAAGTAACTTCAATAAATAGCTATGTTAAATAAATTTTGGAGTTAGCACATGTAATAATTGCTTTTCACATTGCTGTCACAATATACTTGACAGAAGATAGACTTCCTGCCAGGTGGTGGCGGCGGCGGCGGCGGCGGCGGCGGCGGCGGCGGCGGCGGCGCACGCCTTTAATCCCAGCACTCGGGAGGCAGAGCCAGGCAGATCTCTGTGAGTTCGAGGCCAGCCTGGGCTACCAAGTGAATTCCAGGAAAGGCGCAAAGCTACACAGAGAAACCCTGTCTTGAAAATCAAAAAAAAAAAAAAAAAAAAAAAGATAGACTTCCTGATTTGTGTTGGAGACTCCAGTCTCCAGTAGGTTTAAGTACAACTACAAACTAAGTTATTATTAGTGTCCTATCCCCCAAAACACTCTGCTCTGGGATATAACCTCTTTGAGAAGTGCCTTAGGCTTCTGGCAGCTGATACTTCCAAACTGGTATCTGTAGTCAGACCTGTCCCTGGGCCTCACCTGTAATCCACCTACTTCCTGCTCATCTCCACCGGGCTATCTAAACAACACCTCTTCCTTGACATGACTCAGAGACATCATCTTCTACCTAAACCTGTTCTTCTTTTCTTTCTCTAAACACTGGGCAATGCCACCCATCAATCACCCAAGCCACAGACCTGGGAGTCATTTGTAACTTCTCCCCAAGAACAATCCTCCCCGCAAGATTTTCCAACTCTGCTTTCTAAATATTCTCATTTCTCCCTAGCCACCTTTTGGGTTCAGGCCAACATCATCCAGGGTGTGATAGGTTAAAAATAACCATAAATTCATTGTTGAGTATTCCATTATGGCTGGCCTTATAAATTATTTTGTTCATTTGAATGTAGCAGAGGTTACAGTGGAACTTCTGAATTGAAGTTCAAAAGGACTCAGTTTCTCCTCTCGTCTTTTTCAACCACTGCCATTACAGCAGGAAATCCTAGCCAGCTCACCTGAGAGACACAGCACATCCAGCAGCTAGCACCAAATGGCATGCATATGAGTACTGGGGGATATCTGATCACACTGTGTGAAGATGTGTCTCTGTCCTTCCTCATCTGCCTAAGGCACTTTCTGATTGGTTTAATAAAGAGCTGAACAGCCAATAGCTAGGCAGGAAAGGATAGGTGGGACTTCCGGGCAGAGAGAGGAACTCTGGGAAAGAATCTGAGGCTGGAGGACTCGCCAGTCAGACACGGAGGAAGTCAGACATTAAGTACTGAAGAGAGGTAATGAGTCATGTGGCAGAATGTAGATTAATATAAACAGGTTAATTTAAGTTTTAAGAGTTAGTCGGGAACAAGCCTAAGCTAAGGCCAAGCTCTCATAATTAATAAAAAGTCTCGGTGTCATTATTCAGAAGCTGGGGGTCCAAAAAAGTCTGACTACATATGAGTGAGACTGTTTTATACTATCTAGCCCTCAATAAGCCATCACCTGGTGGAAACCACAAGAAGAGTCGTCAGAAAAGTGGTCTAGGTAAGCAAACCCAATTTCTCATCCTCAGAATCATAAGCAAATAAACAAATGCCATTTTAAGGCATTAAGCTTTTAGGTGGTTTGTTATGCCCATTAAACAATGAATATCCAAGGTGAAATCCAAATTCCTCATCCAGTCTCTAAGGCTTTTCATATATATGTGTGTGTGTATCTTTACCCTCTCTGCCGCTATGCTACCTGATTCAACACGTGGCTGTTTGTTACCTTGGAATCTTGGCACACCATCCTTACATTCTGTCCTGGTTAGTATTGTCACTGGACAGGATCTAGAACCCTGAAAAAACAAACCTTTGTGCACATGAGGGAGTGTCTAGATAGATCAACCGAGGTGGGTTTCTAGATCTATCAATTCCAGTCTGGGGTCGTGAAGCAAATGAAAAAGAGAAAGTAAGCTGATTGTCAATATCCATCACCCTTTCTTTATTGACTGTGGATGCAGTGTAACCAGCTGCTTCCTGTTTCTACACCCATGCCATCCCCGCCATGATAAACTATATCATTCAGTTAGCTTCATGTTGTTGTGATAAAAGACCACGACTAAAAGCAGCTGAGTGGGGGAAGGGTTTATTTCAGCTTATGCTTGTAGTTCATCATGAAGGGAAGTCAGGGTGCAGAAACTCAAGGAAGGAACCCAAAGGCAGGAACTGAAGCAGGAGCCGTGAAGGAATGCTGCTTCCTGGCTTGCTCAGTCTGCTTTCTTATAGATGGGGCACCACTCACAGTGGGTTGAGCCCTCCCACATCCGATCATCTATTTTTAAAAAACGCTCCACAGGCTTGCCACAGGCCAATTTTTTGAAGCATTTATCTAATTATTCTTTATCATTAAAAAATTAGGAGTTAGCTATCAGGGTAAGAACCTGAATGATCAGAGAAGCCACCAGGGACCTCCTATCTTTTCTGTTTCTCCATCCAAAAGGACTGAGATCCTCTCTAAGTTCCACCTTACTACTTCCTGTCTCTCTATCTGTCCTCAGTCCTCCAAAACCTCTGTGGTTAATTTTGGTCAGCTAGCTGTTACCTCAGTCCTCTGATTCAAAACAAACTTCATTGTCAAAATGCAATCGAAATGTCACACAACACTTTCTCTTTCTGGACGACCCTAGCTTATGTCAAGCTGACAAAAAACTAACCAGCAGATAGACATATCCCTCAAGCTGTGAGCCAAAACAATCCCTCTGTTTCTTAAGGTGATTTTGTCAGGTTTTTGTCTCAGCAACACATAAAGTAACTAATCCATATCTCTTTACCTATTTTGTCTGGCTGTGTGCCCTCAGCTCACAGGCTACCTTCCTGTCTACCCACTAAGTCTTTGGAGTCATTCTTCTCTGCCAGGCCAGGTCAGTGATTCTCCTTCTGTGCTTTCAAAGCTCCTGCACGTTCCCTATAGTGGAGTTTTTCCCTTCTCCTTCTTTCTTTTTGTTTTTTTTTTTGAGGCAGAGTCTCACTATATAACCCTGGCTAGCCTAGAACTGGCTATGTAGACCAGGCTGGCCTTGAACTCACAGAGATCTGCCTATATCTGCCTCCTGAGTGCTAGGGTTAAGGACATGCACCACCATGCTCTGCTTTAAAAAAAAAAAAAGCAGGAT